TTGTCACTGGAGGTGGCCCCGTGGGGACAGAGGCCATCACTGACCCACGAGAGGCCACCGTTGATGCAAGGGACGTCCCCTTTGTCATTGGAGATGACCCCGTGGGGACAAGAGAGGTCTTCATTGACTCAAGAGAGGCCACCGTTGACGCAAGGGACGTCCCCTTTGGAACTGGAGGTGGCCCCGTGGGGACAACAGAAGCCATCATTGACTCAAGAGAGGCCATCGTTGACAAGAGAGGTGACACCCGGGGTGCAAGGGACGTCCCCTTTGGAACTGGAGGTGGCCCTCTGGGGACAAGAGAGGTCTTTGCTGAATCAAGAGAGGCCACCGTTGACGCAAGGGACGTCCCCTTTGTCACTGGAGATGACCCCATGGGGACAAGAGAGGTCTTCGTTGAGTCAAGAAAGGTCACCGCTGACAAGAGAGGTGACACCTGGGGCGCAAGGGACGTCCCCTTTGGTATCGGAGGTGGCCTCGTGGAGACAAGAGACGTCATCCTTGATGCAAGAGAGGCCACCGTTGACAAGAGAGGTGACACCCGGGGCACAAGGGACGTCCCCTTTAGAACTGGAGGTGGCCCCGTGGGGACTACAGAGGCCACCGTTGACACAAGGGACGTCCCCTTTGTCACTGGAGGTGGCCCCGTGGGGACAAGAGAGGTCTTCGTTGACGCAACAGAGGCCACCGTTGACAAGAGAGGTGGCACCTGGGGCACAAGGGACATCCCCTTTGGAACTGGAGATGGCCCCGTGGGGACAAGAGAGGCCACCGTTGAGTCAAGGGACGTCCCCTTTGTCACTGGAGGTGGCCCCGTGGGGACAAGAGACATCATCGTTGATGCAAGAGAGGCCACCGTTGACAAGAGAGGTGACACCCGGGGCACAAGGGACGTCCCCTTTGGCATCGGAGGTGGCCCCGTGGGGACAAGAGACGTCATCGCTGATGCAAGAGAGGCCACCGTCGACGCAAGGGACGTCCCCTTTGGGACTGGAGGTGGCCCCGTGGGGACAAGAGACATCACCATTGACCCCCGAGATGGCAGCGGCGACACGACCGCCAGCCCCACGGGGCCAAGAGGTGCCACCACTGACACGAGAGGTGACATCGGGGGCACGAGGGACATCCCCTTCGGCACCTCAGACGGTCCCGTGGGGACAAGGGATGTCACCTTTGACACCCGAAACGGTGCCTGGGACACAAGGGACGTACCCTTTGGCACCAGAGGTGGCCCTACGGGGACCAGAAAGGCCACCGCTGACGGGCGAGGTGGCATCTTCGGCACCAGAGACGTCATCGTGGGGGCAAGAGATGTCACCTTCGAGAGGAGAGACAGTGCCCAGGACACAAGGGACGTCCCCTTTGGCAGCAGAGGTGGCCCCACGGGGTCAAGAGATGTCCCCTTCGACACCAGGGATGTCCCCATGGGCGCAAGAGATGGCACCTACACGAGAGGCGTCACCCGGGGCACAAGGGACGTCCCCTTGGGCATACGAAATGTCCCCTTTGGTCCACGCGAAGGTGCCCGGGGCACACGGGACGTCCCCTGTGGCACCAGAGATGTCCCCACGGACACGAGAGACGTCATCTACCCCACCAGAGATGGCACCTGGGGCACAAGGGACGTCCCCTTTGTCACCAGAGACGTCACCTTCCTCACGAGGGACGTCCCCGTGGACAGACGTGACAGCACCCGGGGCACCAGGGACGTCCCCGAGGGAGGGTTTTCCCCAGGGGGGTCCTTGGGGACCCCCGCCAGGGTCCCCCTT